GACACATTTTATAGTTTTTACTCACAGAAGTCACTTTGATTAAAGCAGAAAGATATGAAAGTCATGTCTTCTTTGTTTAAATGTCAAGAATGACCAGTGAAGACACTAAAGTTATTTCCTCATTTATCTTCATGAGGAATAATTGAAGCTTGGTCTAAACAGACAGCCTGTTAATATTTCTATATGCAACCCTCTTTATGTGTTCTTCAGTGTCATGGGGACTGCTGGCACCCATGTTTATATTCACTGATGTAAATACACACACACACACACACACACACACACACACATTTATGGGTGAGGATGTGATTTAATAGTCTGGATCCTTTCTTTCATGCTACTATATTATAAAATTTTGTTTTTATCCTCCTTTTACACTTTGCCTTCCACACCTACTTGTTACCATTGAGCAATGTGGAGCATAGAAAGTAATGGTAAACAAATCCATAAAAAAACAGTAAGTCTGACAAGCACCTGAGGGCAGGCACTTTGGGGGTTTGATCATATCTGCACAGATGAAAAGATGAACATGGTAAAGTCTTACCTCACTTTAGTCTTTTTCATTAAAAAATCCTTAAATACACACACACACACACACACACACACACACACACACATATAAATACAGTATCGAGATTAAGAAACAGTATGTTATTGGTAACTTTTGAAAGCCCTGTATATCTGTTCTTTATAATCCCTCCAAACCAGAGTTAACTACCATCTGATGTTTAATGAGTATTAGAGAAGTTGTAGAGAAAAGGGAACTCTCATTCACTGTTGGTGTGAATGTAGACAGGTATAGCTGCTATGAAAAATAATATGGAGGTTCCTCAAAAAATTAAGAATAGAGTTACCATATAACCCAATATAGAGCTACCATATTTCCTGGGTATCTACTCAAAATTTTCAAAAACATTTATTTGCAAAGATATATGCATTTCTGTTTATTGCAACACTTTTCATGGTGGCTAAGACAAGGAGACAACCAAAGCATCCTTCACTAGATGATTGGGTAAAGATATGATATATATAATTATATTAATAATTATATATATAATAATTATACATATAATTATATTAATATTCTATACAATATATATTATATTAATATATATTATATATAACATATATATACTGTATATTATATGCATATATATTAAAAGGGTAATATGCTAATTAGACCAGACATCATTCCAACTGTCTTTCTGGACAAAACCAGGACCAGAGGAAAGCCAGCCTGAGTCCCAGGTGCCTGTGGGTGGCTTGAGGTAAGCCAGTGTCGGCAGTCTAGGTCCCAGGTGCAAGCAGCCTGGGTCCTGGGTGTCGGAGGGAAGCCAGTGCCGAAAGCCTATTCTTGCATGAATTTTTGTGCTTTGAGCCTCTAGTCGTATATAATAAAAGTATAATAAGTTAATTAGGCAGGGTTTCTTTCCAGATGCCCTTCCAAACAAAGCCGGCATTCAAGGGCTGAGGCAGAGGTGGCCACCACCACGGCAGGGGCCAAGGCTCTTGCACAAATTTAGTGCACTGGGCCTCTAGTGTGTGTGTATCTATATATATATATACAGCCATAAGGGATATAAAATTGAAACTCATACACACAGACAATAGTATATTGATTGCCAGAGGGAACAGGGTAAAGGGGGTCAAATATATGGTGATGAAAGATGATTTGACTTTGGGTGGTGGGCACACAATGCAATATACAGATGTGTCATGGAAATGTAATTTCCTTATTTTCAGGGCTGCCTAGGATTCCATGGTGTGAAGAGATCAGAGATGGTCCTTAATGTAAATGGGTCGTTAATGATATCTCTACATTTTGCTGTTGTAAACAATGCTGCTTTAAACATCCTTCTCTATATTTATCTGTGCACACAAGAAACAGTTTCTCCAGGTGCATAATTGCAGTTTTAGGATATGGACTTCTTCAATAATACCGGTATTTTGAAACACTTATCCAAATTACATAGATAACTTGACAATTCCACCAGCAAAGCATAAAAGTTAATGATTCTCCTCATCTTGTCAACATGTGAAACTCTCAAAAATAGTCATTCATACAGAAAATGAATACTGCCTAAATGACCACAGATATCTATTCTAGAATCATATAATACTTCAAACAAAACTAAGATCCAGTTATAGTTAATTAAAATTACTTGCTCCATTCTAAGCTTAGCAAAAAATAATACATATAGAAGATGGCAAAAATAATTTTAAAAAATTATTATGTTTATGCCTGAAAATTTAGTCACCCATTTTTTTATAAGAAAACTCCCTGTAATGATGTCTCAAAACATTTATGTCAAACTGCTCTGCTGTATTTTGCCAAAAAGAAAAAAAAATCCAGTCAAAACAATTAATTAGAAGCTGTTAATGATCCCTTCAATATTTAAGAAGCCACTGAAAGAAAAGAGAGAAACTGAGGAAAAGAAAATATCCCTCAAACCAAGATGCAGGAGATAAGCCAGTTTGTGGATCTCAATTTTGGAACTTGGCCTTGAATATCTGAACTCCTCTGCAATCATTTCACCAATTCTAATCACTCAATGAACACATCACAGGGAGATTTCAGATTTATGAAGGGCTTAAACCTCAAACACCAACCTTGCTTCTCTTCTTTATATATTTTGCCCTTGTAATATTTTATTCTTATTACCATAAATAGTTTGGGTGCTGAAAATCACCAGCACTGGAATAGTCCACACAGATCTATCTGATTTAGTTTCTACAGACCATTTGGTAAAATTAGGTGAGAAAGTTCATCAGTAATATATGTAAACCCCTGAGTCATAAATTATTTGAAAAAAGGTGTTCAGTTTATTTTAAACCAAGTGTCTATCTATCTATCTATCTATCTATCATCTATCAATGGTGGTGCCCAGATGATAGCATAGGATTTATGATTTTTAGTAGATTAGTACTAATAAAACTCGAGTCAAATAAGCCCATTTCTACATTGAACAGTGAGTATTCCATGGTTACATGACCACAAACTCTATTATAAACCCACAGCAGCTGCTCTGCAAATGGATGACGGCCATGAGGAAATTAGGGGAAACAAGCTCTTGGTACTGAAGAGTACATCCCTCACCACATCTGGAAAAAAATTAAAGGTCATATCTACTGATGGTTGGTCCATGATGTCAACCTTCACCACAAAGAGTAGCATGTTACCTTTTGATAGGCAAAGATCTCAGTCTGAGAGTCAGGGGATGATGCACTGAAGGGAAGGCACCATCTCCAGCAATTGTTAATGACATCCCCTGAGGAAAAGGAGTCACCAGTACCCTCTCTGTGGCTTTTTAGAAGCCTTTCTAGAAAATATCCTTTTATCTCACTGGAATGTCTCCAGACCAAAATATATGCATTTAAATATTAGTCACACCTTGGCAGAATCAACATAAACAATCAGGAGTGTTGCATATACCAATCCATGCTTTGAATGTCTTACCTCATGTTTCTCAAAAGCTGGATGAATGTCTGTTTCATTGTTCAACAAAAGCAAAGACTTTAATTTGAAGCCTCTGTAATTAAACTTTTAAAAGGCACACAAAATCTATCTGCTCTAGAACATATGAACTATATTTCTACTGTTTTATACTTATCTATATGTTACAAACCTTCTCTGGTCATCATACTTTCTCTTGTTACGCCTGGCCAATTCCTTATCAATCACCTTTAGGGCTCTATACTTCAGAACATTGTTGATTTTCAATTAAAAATCAAACAAACAACAACATTGTTTTTATAATTAGAGTTGTATGTTATGAAATATTTTGTGATTATCCCCTATAAAGCCTTCTTGCAATTAATCTTTCCAGATGCTCAAATAAATGCTTTAGGAACTGACAACTTAAAAATGAATTGCTATGGATTTTACAAATAGTGCCAAAGAAACATTTTTTAGGAGGATACTTGAACTTTATGCCAAGATACAAATAATGAGGCGAGCAAAGTAGAAAAAGAACATGGCAGAATAGTACCAAGAGTTATGAAAACTGTGGACTCTTGGACACAACCCTGCCATAAGGAAGTTGAGTTTAGCAATAATCTTTGTACAAATATGACCTTCTTTGGGTGACATCAGATCAGATTCCTGTTAAGTATTGTTTTTACTTTGCCTCTGAAAGTCATCATCTTTCAGTGTGTTCCTTGGACTGACCTCATAAGGGGGCCAGCCCATCTCCTAAGAGCAGTTGAATGTCAAGGAAAAATTTAAACAAAGGCAGATATATTCTGCACAGGAAATAGTTTTAGCAAATAGTCAATGTTTAAAGACAGCAGTGGGGAAACACTCCTGGCATTAAGGGGTTAGAGACACCCTCAAGAAAAGGTACAAATGTGTGCTATTGATTTATCTTCCTCCTAAACCCAATGTGATACGTGGTATTGAATTACAAAGCTAATGCGTAACAAAGGGAATGCTCTGCAAGAATCTACACTTTGTATTCATTAGCCCTCGGTAATCCAGTTCTACAGGTGTCAGCACTAGGTTCTTCCTTCATGATTAAGGAATTGGCCACTTTCACAAGGGCGATAAAGAAGAAGAAATGCCAGGTGCTAGCACTGTGAAAGAGCTTGTCTCCACTCGTAGGCCTCAGGAAGACTGTCACCTTGGGACTTAGCAGGGGATTATAACCTCAGGATGGACTGCTTCATGAGTATTTATCATCTTTAAAACTCTGATCAGAAATGCCAAGTGGTCATGGTTACGAGACACCTGATTTTGCACCATCCCTGCTAAAAACTCCTCTGCTGCACTGCTGATAAATATTGCATTATGTTCCAAAGTGCATGGAACAACTTGAAATCCTATCTCCTCGCACACTAAGCAAGAAAAAAAGCCAGACTTAAGCTTTGGCACTTAGCTTATTTCTCGAAGAGCAAGGATCACTGTATGTGAGAATTTTCACCTTGAATTTCTTGCAAACATTCGTTTTATAGAATGAGTAAATGTGGAAGACCAATTAGAAAGATAAGAGATTTTCAATTACCTTGGAAACTCGATTGGCAACTTCTCTGCCCACAGTCAGCCCCTGGACAAAGGTCCGAGCAGCAATGAAGGCGCGGGTGACCTGGATTTTCAGTTTACGGGGTACATCTCCAAATGGCTTCAGCTGGTCTGTGTATTTGCTCACGCATTCCAGGTAGTCCTCGCTGAAGTGATACTGCGGGTTTATTAGCTGAAACATCCGTTCCAGGAGCCGAGCCCAGAAGTCATTGAGCATCTCCTCCAGGTTCACGTTGCCCCCAGTGTAGTATCTCTTCAGCTCTGTGAATAGGTCCTGGAACACTTCTGAATTCTGCATGTACAGCATCCCATAGGTCCGTACAAACATATCATTGAGTGACTTTTCTGCATTTTCTAGGAGTTCTCGGAAAAATTCTGCAAATAAAAAGAGAAAATAGTTGAACATTAAGAAGAGCTATAAATCCCAATAAAATAATAACTCTATCTATCTATATATCTATCTATCTATCTACTAATAATAATAGAGGAATATGCAAATTGTCTGGGACACTATCACAGTAACAACCGAACAGCAGGCTGCATGAGGCAACAAAACCAGCAGAGGGGTTAGTGAGGGGTAACCAAATGACTAAACAGCAGGCTGCATAGGGCAACCAGGTCAGTGGGGGGCGGGGGGGCAGTTAGGGGCAACTGGGCCAGTAGAGGGGGGCAGTAAGGGGCAAACAAGCCAATGGGGTGGGGGAGTTGGGGGCTACCAGGACAGTGGGAGGGGCACTTGTAGGCCATCAGGCTGGTGGGGGGGCGGCACTTAGGGGCAATCAGACAGGCAGGCAGGTGAGCAGTTAGGAATTAGAGGTCCTGGATTGTGAAAGGGATGTCCGACTGACGATTTAGGGCCGATTCTCAGGATCAGGCCTAAACCGGCAGTCAGACATCCCCCAAAGGTTCCCAGATTGGAGAGGGTGCAGGCTGGGCTGAGGGGACCTCAACTCCCATTCACAAATTTTGTGCACTGGGTCTCTAGTATATACATCCTCACCTTAGGATACTTTTTTCATTGTTTCTTTTTCTTTTTAGGGAGTGTAGACTAGCAGGAGGGTCAAAGAGTGGGGCAGGGAGACTGAAAGAAATACATCCATTGGTTGCCTTACACAGGAGCCCTGACCAGGGCTGGGGATAGACCCCTCAAACCAGGTATGTGCCCTTGATAGGAAACCAATCGAACCCACCAAGGTGTTAAGGGCAATGCTCTAACCACTAAGAACACAGGGCAAGGCTAGTAACTATTTAAAATGAAATTTTCCCTACATCTATTGTATAATCTGGAGTCAAAGAAAATAGAGAAACATGTGGTTTCTATTTGAAAGAACATCTACTATTATTAGGAGTTTAGCATTTACTATTCCTCCATAGTTGCCCAATTATTTTTCCATTTATTGTTAAATTTTAGAAAATCTTATAGTTTGACATGAAGTCAAAACAAAATATGTTACAAAGTACTGTCATTAACATAATAGCAAATACATATTAATATTATAAAACCATTTGCACCATCATATTTACAAATCTATGCTAACAGTAGGTTTAATTAAGCTGCTTTTATTTGGAATAGTTAATAAATACTACATTCAAATTACTGTGATAGTTTTGACTTTTTAATTGCTATATATAGCAATTGATTGTCAGTGTTCAGAGAGTGATAATGCAATTAGATTTACTTAATAGCAAAAATATAAAGAACTTCATTGTCATAATGAACTGAAAAGTTATGAAATACTCTGTATTATCATTAGAAATGTAAACTATTATTTTAGAAAATTTAAAGGAAATATATGCAATTGGACTTTCTAGTTAAGAGGTTCTAAATGAAAAAGACTATCCCAAGAAATAAACTCTTCCTTCCTGCAACAGCACTTGAATGTTACTGGAAACCCTAAGGATGCAAAAAATAAGAACTAACACCACCGAATACTGCGGGCTTCATTGGCCCTAGATTACGTTCACTCAAGAAAGAGTGCATGTGTGTAGGGAACTATTATTGTGCGCAAATGAGCATGGGCAGAGGAAGCTCAAGCTTTACCCCATATGTAGACTGTGATTGGGGTGGCTAAGGAAAGATAATGCTTCTAAGTTTATAAATCCAAGTTGCTAACAAATGAGCAATTCTGCTTTACCTCTAAAACTCCCTTTTATTCCATGAAGGTATGTTCCCTCTCAGCTAATGCAGAGACAAATGAAGTCCTGGACACCTCAACAATTCTAAGTAGAAACAAAACAAAACAAAACAAAACAATAACAACCCCACCCAAAACAAACAGACAAAATACAAAACCTAAAACCAACAAAATAACTCTCCTTTTTGGAACTCTCAAGGGCCTTTTCCTGAGAAATCCAAGGAAAAACTATAAATCTCTCCATGGATTCCATGGAAGCTACACATCACTTCTGCTTCACCAAAAGTTTCCCAAAGAACCTGATTGAGGTACTTTGATTCTAATAGTGATGAACCATTAATTGCCTTGATATGGTGTCTAGAAGAATAATGATTGTTTTATATTTGTTATCAAATGAAACCAAAGCAGCAAAGCAAAATAAAGAACATTGTTCACATCTTCACCCTCTTACTGTGAAGAATATACTTTCCTAACCAACAAAATTCTGTTGGAGAGGCAATAAATACTGAGGGGTTATATAAAAGTCATGGTTTATAAACTTTTTGTGATCTTTTCCAAAGCACCAAATATTTCTACTTTTAATTTTTCCCCAAATGTAAAATAATGCTAACTATTATTAAAAACTCCCTAATGTTCAAGGATTTAGTAAATAAAATCAGTGTTGAAGCAAATAGGGCCAGTTTTCCCAAAATTTCAGAGCATCAATTAATCAAAATATTTATATATGCTATATGTTATGTTATTTATGATTTTGTGATATCAGAAAATTTTTATATTTTTTAGGAACACTAGTCACCTAGCTTTTTCTAAAATAGAAACTACATTAAATGATTAATATTAATAGCAAGTATAAAATGTCATATTAAAACTTTTCAATCTCAAAACCAAGAATAATAATAGCTTGACTTTGTTGATAGAGTAGGTGTTAAAAATTGTGAAAAGAAACTACAAAAGGATGAAAAAAATCAGTGAATTGAAAAATACTAAAATTATGAAACTAGAAAGTAGATTCTAATCATGAGCTCAGGACAGCATATTCATTTATCTTCTTTTTGAGGTCAATTATTTTGTTAGACTCAGAGATTAAAGCTTAATTTATTAAATACAGAGTACTGCCTTCAGCAATGAATAGTTAGCAATCAATAGTGTGGTCTGGATTGCTAAGAACTAAACAAAACAAACAAAAAAGAAAAAGAAAAAGATCCTGAGGTTCTCACTGCTTTTCAAAGACTTAGATATAAATGATTCTGTGTAGGGATAAACATTGTATTTTTTATTTTATTGAAAGTAACATTCCTTAGGCTTATCCCCTCTTAACCGGGAAAACATGAACTATGGGTCTTACACCCACTTTGCAGTTGAATGGTAAGAACCAAACTGCTCACTCACTCTATCATTTGGTTTGTTTCCTCATGCCTAAATTCATCATTAAATAGAGAAACCAATTCATCATATTTCAATAAATCTAACCCAAGAAGCATTTTATTAGCTTCCAAGCTTAAATTTGTGTCTAAGGGTGTGTCATTGTCTGAAAAGTTTGCTATTAGCTTCACTGGTCCTCACAATCAAATTATGATTCCTTGTTCAAAATTATTATACGGTTTAGTGATCTCATAGTCAAAGTTTATATTGGTATTGAAAGACACCAAAGTATCAGGTAATTATGACAAATGCTGCTACCTTAAGGGACATTGATCTTATATCTTATAAAAGATGGGGAGGAGGGAATACCTAAGGTACCGAGGCAAAACCAATGACATCCAAAAATAAGTATGTTCATTTCAGTGTTAGGATGTCCATAGACTCAGACTTCAACCTTATGAAGGTTGACTCTTTTAACAATATATTTTATGCTTGGATGAAAATTGTTTCCCAGCAAACCAAACAGATGGATATTTGGAAGACAGTTATCAGATCCATTTTGCTGATGAAGTATTATGCCCAAGCAGCACAGAGAACAAAATTGAGAGCAATATAAGAAAAAACAATCTCACCTAGTCCTTCATTCAATCACAGAGGGTAAAACTCACATTGGATAAAGCCTTTACTCAACAAAACTTCTCATCTGCAAGAAACAGTTTGGCAGAAAAAAAAAGAAAAAAAAGAAAAAACACCTTTCTTTTTTTTTTCTTTTTCTTTTTCCCAATCACAAAATATACATCAAAAGTGATTGCTTAGGGCTTAGTTATGCTTCATAGATGCACAAAGGAACCTTTTCCAGCCAGTATTAGCCTCTGGGAGGTTTTTTATTCATCTACAGGGGAGATCTGGATGCAAACATCTGTTGGCTGCAGGGCAGACTGACTCAAGTGAGAGAACAATTCTGTAGATAAAAAACACCACTATTCCAAAAGCAAAAAGAAACTCTGTGCATGAGGCCTGATCACTGGGACATGGTTCTTAAGGTGGGAAAATCAACTCCCAGGAGCCAGGAGATGCCCCAAGATAAAGGTAAAATGCACCCAGGGGCCTGGGGAGGTAAGAGGAGGGGAAGGGCAGACTAGACACTCTCTAGGAATTTTCAGCCAATAAGAAACAGCAAAAGTTTTGCTCAATCAAGTTGTAAATGTCTTATTAATACTACTATAGAGAAACATACTTAGCATTTACCTAGAAATTGTAGCATTTTCCTATTCTATTTCATATTCTCCAAAACACTTCTTACTGAAATCTCATTTAAAGCTAACATTTCTTGCCTGGCAGGCTGGGCTAAATAGTTGAGCATCAACATATGAAACAGGAGGTCACAGTTCCATACCTGGTCAGGACACATGTCTGAGTTGTGGGCTCATTCCCAGTGTGGGGCATCCAGGAGGCAGTGACTGATGATTTTCTCTCATCATTGATGTTTCTATCTCTCTCTCCTCCTCCCTTTCTCTCTGAAATTATATATATATATATATATATATATATATATATATATATATATATACACACACACATACACACACACACACACACACACACACACACACACACACCCCGTATTTTCAGGCATATAAGACGACCCCCTAATTTTACAGTTAAAATATAGGTTTAGGCCAATATTCGCTGTATAAGACTACCCCCCACTTCCAAGGCAACACCAGTTCTTTTTTTAATAGATCGCCTCTCTGACTCTGGCCAATCTGAGCAGGCTTTTTACTAGAGCACAGTGTAGCTTCGGGTACAGAACATGTACAATTTGCATGCATAAAAAGCCTTACACGCCAGAAAATACGGTGTGTGTGTGTGTGTGTG